CTTTCCATCCTCTTGCTGGCTGATTTCGCTGCACAGAAGAGCCCCCCGGTCCCGTTACGGCTTGCACCACGGCCAGCTGCCATTCTTTGTCAGTCTTGGCTTTTGTTCTTTCTCTCTTCGCTATTTGCAGCACTTCCGCGTGCAAAGCATGTGCTAGAACAGCAGATAATCGTCCACTTTTCCATTCAATGTAGCTGGTTTTGACTGCTTGCACAATCTCAGGTCTCAGTCCACTCAGAAACCAGCTTCGCAGATGACACTCCCATGTGTTAGGTTGATTTTCTTGTTCTTCTGGTTCAGTTAACCCGCTGTGTTTATTGAAGATCAGATACAGACGATTGTAATAGTCTTGAACCGACTCTTCTCTGCTCTGACAACAATTGCCAATCTTTGCTGTGTCCACACGCGCTGGGAATGCTGCTTTTATGCCGTCAGCCAGTTCCTTAACAGCTGTGCGGTAATTCACATTCGCTCGGTCGTTCCATTCACAGCGTTCTCTTCGACAATCTTCTTTCTGCAGCTTTCCGCTCACTTTATGCCAGTTCGTAGCCCCCAGTTTCACTGCCAGCAGCCTTCTCAGTTCATGCACGGTGGGGCTGAATTCTTGGCAGAAGGTGACTAACTCTGAGGAAAATTTGTCACCTGCTTCGTCAGGGCTTGGCAAATGAGCCATTGCTTCCTTCATATCATTCACAGTCCACGGTCTAAAGACCATCATAGGGCCGTCAGGTCCTGATACCTCGATCATCGGAGCTGTTATACTCACATTTTCTTCTTTTACTGTCTGTCTTGTTTTTCTTTTCTTTGGCGAGGGTATTCTGCTTGCCATTTCTTCTTCGATCTCTTCGTTGGGGGTTTCAGGAATCATTTCGGGGTCTTCCTCCATTTCTTGTCTCCATTCTGCTAGTGTCCGTGGTGCTGTTGGTCTTTTCAGTGGAGAGCAGTCAAGGTCAGGGTCCAGTTTCAGGGCTTGCAGCTCCGCCACGGGATAGTGATGATAGGGCGGTGGTGCATGTTTAGAGACAGAGACATCAGAGCGGTTAGTAGGTCTATGTGATACAATTGCTTCTTCACATTTTTCATTTTTCTTCTCCTCCTTTCTACCTGCTAATTCTTTCTGCATTGCTCTTCTTTCTCTGTTATCTGCTTCCCCTATCCAACAATTCACTGTCTGCTCACATTTTTCACACATATGTTTCACACAACACCCTCTTTGTTTTTTGCTATTTCCCTCTTCCACTGATTCCCTTACAACATTCAGTCTTTTGACACTCAGTGTTCCCTCTTTTGGAAAATCATGATACTTAATTAATTTCCCCATATCTTGCATGCATTTCTGACCATATAGTTTTTTCATCTGACAGAAAACCGGTGTATCATATTTAGCGAGCTTGCTCTGGGATTTCCCCATATTGGCTGTTTCTTTCTCTGTGGATTTCATTTTCGGCGCCTACATAATCTGCTGGACGTCTCCAACAGATCCGACCTTTCTCCCAAAGCCTGTAGCATGTAACTTTGTGTCCCACCCCACCCCAGATGTGTTTGAGAACATGCAAGTGCCTTGGTGGAAGGGCTAACATCTCCCAGCAAGAACTGAAAAATCTGGTGCAGTCCAGGAGGATGAGATGACCTGTAGTTCTTAAGGAAGCTGGTGGCTAGAGAAGAAAACGACTCTTACTTTGGACATTGACCTCCCCCCTTCTCCCCCCTGTTCAGAGACTCATTAGTCCATTTCTTTTCATCAAATGCCTATGGAACTTGTTCAGTTTATCTCTTCCTAGACTTGCACATCTCCTCGAGCCAGTTGAGCATTGGTGGTTCAGTGGCAGAATTCTCACCTGCCACCCGGGAGACCCAGGTCTGCTTCCCGGCCAATGCAAGAACAGCCTCCTTTTAACCCTCTGGGGTCCGAGGGTGTTTTGGGGCCTGGAAAAGTTTTGACATGCCCTGACATTTGTGCTTTTTTTCAGTTGCTTACAAACATTTGAATGTCTAAAGTTTAATAACACTGTAATCAGCACAAACTGGGCTACAATAATATGTGAGCAGCATGTATGTACGTGATTGTGTTTTTGAGAAAACAAAGTTTATGTATGCTTAGTGAAAAACTACAATTTTAAAGTCACTGAAATAAGGCCATAAAACACATACAGAACATTTGATCACAAGACTTTTGAGAACTGATCTTGAAGTCTAGAGTTTTTGCTTCAAAATTATGTGTAGATCATCTTACTCACTCATTCACAGAAAACAATATATTGATTACAATTTTCTAAGACACTTTTTGTGTAGAAAAGGTATATGCGAGGAGGCGTGAATGATCATGCATAATGCTGTGATTCACACCTGAGAAGACAAAATTTAGAATACATATAACTATCAATTAAATAACTCATGGGAGTGTGTGCATCACATGGTCTTAGCTGTGGTCCAGGTTTTTGTGCAGGCAGGAATGTACGGTCAAGTATGAAGGAGCATTTTAGTTCTTTTCGCTGTTATCATTCAAATCTGCAAAAAGTTCCGCCGGCGGAACTGTCGACCCCAGGAGGTTAAGCGAGCTGGTGGCTACAGAAGATAACGACTCTGACTTTTGATATTGACCTCCCCCTTCTCCCCTTTGTTCAGAGACTCATTAGTCCATTTCTTTTCATCAAATGCCTGTGGAACTTGTTCAGTTTATCTCTTCCTAGACTTGCGCATTTCCTTGAGCCAGTCGTGCAATTACTGCTCATGCACCTCTGAAGAATTCCTTCTCGTAGCATGTCGGCCATGAGGGTAGTTAGGAGTTGTATTTGAGCTAAATCTTTTTGTACGACCGAAAATAGTTGATGGATTTGATGGTTTGGTTTAGAAGGGTGCTATGGGTATTTCGAATTGTGATGGTGCCATTCAGCAACTTCCCGAAGGACTGTAGGGCATGGCTCTGGACTGAGAGCTGCTGTCGTATCTCAGGCATTTCAGCCTGGATTTCGCCCACATGCCGCCTCACAGTGGCCAGATTCACGGCATTAGCGGTGTTCATGCCAATGTTAAACAGAGTTCCTACAGCCGCAGCAGCCACCAGCAGGGCGCCCAAAAATCGTTTGGGACGCCGGTTGTACCCGCTTAATACAGCCTGGGTTACAGTCATTTTCTGTAATTGGTGCAGCATGTGGTTCACATCTGCCTGGGCATGGGTGAGGACTTCTCGAGTCCAACAGGCGCCGGCCCAAGTGGTTTGAGCGGCTGAGAGGGTGTAGTGAGCTCTAAAAACATCACGGGGATCAAGTCGGACGTACACCTTTTGGGTGTAAGTTTTGCAGTGCGTTATCAATAACCCCAGTTGTTCACAGAGTATGATCCCCGACGCTGGTCCTGGCGACACAACTTCTGACTGGGGCCTAACCCCAATTACGCAGAGGATCAAAACGGCGAGTCCGAACATCTCCCTGGTAACAGAACAGAAAAGAAGTAACAGTTAGCAGTGAAGATCACTGTTTGGCGGGGTCGCCTCGATCGGTTGGCAATAGCTTTTCACAATGTTTTACGACAACTTTTTTTTTGGTGAAAGGAGTCGATCCTATTTTCGGGACCTGGATTTACAGTTGGGTTACAGGAGTTCCCTGATGAGGGGACTAGAGGGGAAAGGAAATTATAGTGAAAGAGGAAAAAGGAAAAACACAACAAGTGTCACATGTGTGGAGCAACTCCTCTCTATTAGAGGTTGGTCCTAGCAGTGCGGTGGAGAGTGTGTAGGTGTTATGTTTAAGAAAGGTAGCCATATGGTTTTCCTAGAGTGACAGAACTTATGTTAATGTGGTGT